CTGGATCTAGCTAGGGCAGCATTCTGTCAGGGCGTGACATCTAGATGGACACGTCCATTGCTTTCAAATTTTTGGTAATTTTTTTTTAAGGCATTATAGTTCCACAGGAATTCAGTGTTGGCAATTCTCAATATCCCACCTGTCAAAGGCTCTTCTGAGTCTACCTCCTGTTCCCTACCCTCCTCCAGTAGGTGAACTTTTATGGAGCTGGCTTGAGTCTTAATTGAGGATTTATTCAAATCCAGAGCCCATGGTGAGACTGTTGTGAAAGATGTTGTCCCTTTTGCTTCCCTGAGTCCCTGCTCCAGGCCATTCTTCTCTGGAGCATCACACCCAGAATAAATGCCAAACTCCAGACCCAGCCAGATGCTAGTCCCAGGGCCGGCTATGTAGTCCAGAGGGCTGCAGCTGACCCTCTGTTTCTGTGGTTGATGGGAAGGCCAATCTTCCTTTTTCCCCCTTCCTCATCAGCCACACAGATAACACACACCCAGCATAGATTCCTTTTTTTCCCTTACTAATTATATCCTTCTCAGTTAAGATTTTTTGAGCATTATTTTCTGTATCTATATTTGAAAGCCACATAGTTCCTTTTTCTTTTTTGAATATAAAATTTTATTTTAATGTTGAATATGATGGGAAAAAAAGAACCTCCAAAATACCTTAATACTTGTCCCATCTCTCCCAGTTAAGACTCAGTCCACGAGCCCCTTTTTCTTGGAGGGTTCATGGACTTACCTTCTTCCAGGAAGTGGCTGTGATACACCCTCATACTTGTCCTGACTTTCTCACAGACATTAGTCCTATATTTTAAGATACATCGTAGACATTTTTGCTTGAGTGATTCTTCTGTTTCCTCAACTCATCGTGCCTAAAACCGAACTCATCATGGCCCTCACCCCCCGTTCATCTCCCACCGCACCCCACCCCCCGTTCATCTCCCACCGCACCCCACCCCCCATTCATCTCCCACCCCACCCCACCTTCCTGCTTCTGACAATGTTCGCTCAGCCTCCCATCCACGCCTCCCCCGAAGCATCTCGTCGGTCACCCAAAGCCTGTTGGATCCTCTTTTTCCTTTTCCTCCCCACTACCATGATTCTAATCTAGACCCTCTGCCTGTGACTGATCTTTCTGCCACTGTCTCTTTTCCCTCTCATCTATCCTGTCCGCACCATTGCCAAAGCAATCTTCCTCAACATCATTTTCCCTGGGTCGTTCCCCTGCCCATGAGCCCTCACTGTGTCCCATCAGCTGTAAGATCAAGTCCATTTTCCTTAGCCTTGAAATTCAAGGCCTTCCTCCAGTGGTTCTTATTCTCATCCTTAAGATCACCTTTCATTTCTTCCTTATATGAACTGTTTATATGTGTCTGTTATTATTTGAATAGCATGTATTACACGCCAACCATGTGCCTGGCAGTGTCCTAGGTGCTCCGGGAGCACTGAATAGGGAAGTCCCTACAAATTCACTCTGTGGTCCTGGGAGCTGGGGGTGTTACCTGGAGTGTCCTCCATCTCTCTAAATCCTAAACCATCTTCCAGTATGTGTTTCAAATCTCACTTTCCTCCTAAAACCTTTCCTGTACATCCAGGGCCCTCCTTATAGTCCTGTGGTCTTTATTGCCTGAATTCATCATTTGACAAGTAGGAATGACCCATTCATTCATTCATTCATTCATTCCTCATTCAGTCACCAAACAGGTACTGAGCACCAACTGTGTATCAGGCATTGTGCCCGCTGCTGGCCCACACGTCAGTGTGTTTTTATGGCATAATAAAAATAAAAATAATAATCCTTGTAAAGCCCTTACCATGTTCAAGCCCAGTTGTATGTATATTCACTTATTTAATCCCCAGAGCAACCTATGAATTTGGCATTGTTGTTATCCAGATTTTGCAGATAGGGAAATCAAGGTGCAGAGATGTTGAGCAACTTTACTGCAGTCATAGCAGTAGGGTTCAAATCTGGCTCTGAAGACCTTGATCTTAACCCCTATACTTCACTCTTAGGTGCCAGTAATATATACCGTATGCATGTTTATGTAAATATAAACACATAACATCTTCCCACTTAGACTCTGAATTCCTAGAGGTTAGTGACCGTCTATCATACTTTCTGTATCCCCACTACCTCATCCAGTCTTTGCATATGGCAGGTGCTTGAATCACGTGGTTGGTGGATTGTTGGTTCTTCCACTCATTTGGAGGGAGCACCTGTGATTTTCAGGGAGGAGTGTCTGGGGATAGAAGGGGACAGAAATAATTTCAGAATAGACCTAGATACTCTGGAATTCCTGACTTCCAGTTCTTAATTCTGTAAGCTTTGAGGATAGATTTGGACAAGAGCTGGCACTGATGTAAAAGTGCTTCAAAGGGGAATAAAATTTCCTTCTCCAAAAGTAAAACTTAACCCATTATTATGGTTGCATCGTTTCTCCCTCTCACCTTCCTGTTTCTTGTCCATTTTCCTTCATTGCCTGCAAAACCAGTTTTAACATCAGGATCCCAGATGCATTGGCCTAATATTTCTATTTAAGATTCTCATAAGTTGAAGAATAGGAACATTGGAGTTGCAATCCTGCAGCTACATATGTAGCTTAATAAAGCCTAATAAGTACATATTTGAATTTAAAAAACACAGGCGGTGGGTTATTTGCATTTTAAAAGTATTCCTTCTTTTACAAAAGGATCCACTAAAGGGCTCCATTAACCAATTCCTCTTAGTGCATTTATCATACAATTTAATTTACCAAAATTTGATTTATATGCAACTCATGGTGAGCATGGGAATCACGTGGGCAACTTGCTTAAAATTCAGATCCTTCCCCAAACTCTTCCCCAAGATTCTAAGGTATTAGATTCCTCAGTTGGGGCCCAGGATCTTCACTGTTAGGAAGCATCCCTAGGTTGTTGATGTAGGTGGTCAGTGCAACACGCTTTGGGAAACGTGACATTAAAGAAACACATGCGGCCCCTAGACGGGGCTCCTCTTCTCCAGGGCTTCTCATGCCCCTTAGGCCAATTGTCCTGTTTACTCTTCATTCAGTATGTTTTTTGAAATCTCTATTTGAGTCAAAAAGGGAAAAGGCTATACCGCTTCTCCTTCTCTGAGCTGTTAAACATCTTTCATTGTGAGTATGAAATGTTTGTCCTTTCATTTTTGAATTTGAAAAAAAAAAAAAAGTAAACTACACCCCCCAGCTGTATGTAGATAGAATTGATGTATAACACTGCGTAGGTTTAAGGTGTACAAGATGTTGATTTCATACATTTAAATTCTGCAGAACGATTACCACCTTAGTGTTTACCTCTCCATCCTGTCAGAGAATCCCTGTTTTTTGTTTGTTTGTTTGTTTTTTGTGGTGAGAACATTTAAACTGTACTTTCTTAGCAACTTGCAAATACATAATACAGTATTATTTTCTTTTCATTTTTACCCCCTTCTTTTACTCTTAGGTATCTCCTTGGATCTTCTTATTTTCATTTCTCAATTCTTACAACCCTCCTGTGAATTAGCCATCTTTCCATACACCCTACCTGGCTGCCTCAGCCTCTCTCTCCCCTTTAGTGCTCTTGATGATGCTGAGGGCTCTGGCTTGGTCCAGAAATACCAGGCATTTGAGGAATAGTGACACTGCTGAGGTTTCTCTTAGCCAAAGGTAGGGCCCTTTGTTCTCTCTCCTTATCATCTTTTCACAAAAAGGGCCAAAAAAATTTTTTAAACTAAACAAATCATGAGAACGACTTACTTTGGCATGATTCCATTCCTCTGTGAGTGTTAATCCAGGGCCTTGAGAAATGAATGCCAGAAATGTGCATTTAAAATATGATTATAGTTTAATGAAATTTGTTTAAAAACTAGATTCCACGACATTTACGGCATGTTTATCTATGTATTTAATATATCATTGATCTTTTAAAAAGTCAGTTGCTTGACCCATATTTTCCTCTGATTACTTTTCTAAATCTCTTGTAATCTCCAAAAACATTTGGGGATTTCTATACTTCAGAGATTTTTTTTTTCTCCTTTATTAATCCTGTATATCCCTGAATTTCACTCTGGGTAAAGGTTCTCTGGGGTGACCTGGAGTTTGTCAAAATAATAAAAGCAATGGGAGAGCAAACTGGTGCTTCTGGATACTGGTTGGAAATCTTTTCTTTTAATAGATTTATCAGAGCTTATTTCCCCTGAAATAATGAGCTCTTAATAGCCTTGTTTGACTTCCTTAAGAACATAGCCAGAGGTTGTGATGTTTGTTCACTGGGACTTTGTGTACCTTCTTTAACCCATTCAGTGCTGGGCTCGGTCTCCCTGATCAAGGGCGGGAGACCTTCTGAGACTAGGTGGTAGGGGAGGGGGCGGGGGAGGCCATGGAGGGCAGGGGTGTGGTTGTCCCTGGGCTAAGAAAAGGTGAGAGGGGGAGGTAGTTTCAGGTTGTCTGAGAAGCCCTTTCAAGCACGAACTCATTTAATATGTCCAGCATGATTCCATTTTTGGAGAAGAGAATATAGTACCTAAAAAATAAAATTGGGCAGGAACCTCTGGATGGTGGGATTACAAAAGATTTTTCTTTTTTCTTTTCTGAAATTTCCAGTGTTGCTACAGTGACCATGTATTACTGCAAAAAGCCATTTAAAAGAAAGAAGGAGATGTGCTTGGCCTCACCTCTTGAGTCTCCTTCCCAAGGGACCTAATCTTTAATAGATTTATTTCAAACCTAAGCATCGCATGGAGCAGTGTGGTGAGAGGAAGGCTCTCATGAGGAGACCCTGAGCAGTCCAGCCAACAAAAGGCTGTCCTCCAATGGAGGGCCGCCACTGTGTTGCCCGGCTTCTCAGCCTCCGTGTGTGCTCCTGAGTGTGTGTGAAGGCCTGCTACTCCTTCCACTTGACAACTAAGAGATGACTGCATTGTGTTAAGAATTTTAACTTTGTCTTCTTTCTTTTTTCCTTTCCCTTCCCCTCCTCACCCCTTCCGTCCTCTTTTCCCTCCTCAAGGCCTCTCCCATCTCATGATGAGCGAACAAGGTAGGTGCTTGGTGCTCACAACATTGCAGCTGCCCCGAATTGCTTGCCTTCGCGCCTCTGGCTGGCCGCTCAGAGTCTCATTGTCGCTGGCAGGCCGTTTGCTGCCTGTCCCTCCTGCTGTGGGCCAGGCTGGCAGCAGGCCACCCTGGGGTGGGGGTTACCATTCCCGATGCATCTTGGTTTCCTGTCCCCATCATCCCCTTGGCTTGTCCATTCTGCACCACCATTTGTCATCCCGGGCGCTGGCCCTGCCGGGCTGCCTCCAAGAGAGAAGCATGAAACAAGGCATGACGGCGTCGATAATGGGGGTGAATGGAGCTAATTTCCAAGCAACAGAGCGGTTAACTTCCTCCTGCTCCTCCCCGGGCCCCATGCTGGGGGCCCTGTGGTTGGAGGAGAGGAGCTGGGCTTCTCCCTGATTTTCACTCTGAGTAAAGGTTTGCTTTTTGTCTTCCCCTCCATCCCATTGCCCATTGTAATGACTTTCAGCCCCACATGGTCAAAGGAAACCCTTGGGGGTTTGACTGTTTTCAGTTTTATATAAAAGCAAAAACCACCCAAAGAACATGCTAATGTCTTCATGGCAGGATTCTAACTCATTATACACCCTGAAGAAAACTGCATATAAAGATCTGTAAATTCAGCATCTGCAACCTAAAATATTCAAATATGCAGGGAATGAGCTGTGCAGGAAATTCAGCTCAGCTAAGCACAGGGTGGGCTGTGAATGAAGCCTTTTTCTCCTAAATAAAAATTTTCCACATCATCAGCCTAAATCAGGATTTGAGAACTGAGCCTACTTAAAATTGTCTTTTCCTTCACTGTTCAATTGCTACTATTGTGTTTCTTCTGAGCCTTGGGATGATTGCCAGATTGGTCTACCTGCCTTGCCCTGACACCCAAAGACTGTACTTCAATTTCTCTTACCTGTTTCTTTGCAAAAAACACATGGGACTATGGTGCCTCTTTTGGAGGACCAAAGAAAAGGGCAAGGTGGAGTTCATCTATGTTGTCTGGTTTTTCTTGCTATTTTGAGGAGGGTGGGGCAATCCTGAAGGGTTACTCTCCTTCCCTGTTCAATTACACTGGACCCATCAGTTGGTGTTGCCGTAAAGGGGAGTATGCTCAGATCAACAAACCACCCAGGGCTGAGAGAAGTTTGTTTATGATGTCCAGGGAGCTGTGGTGGTGGGCAGTTGAGGGCATCCTGACTTGACAAGACAGCGTAATGAGGAAGCACACCTTCCCAGTAGAATTGAATCCTCCGGAGCTTAGCCAAGATCTGCGATGTGGACTCGACTTTCAATGAAGATATGGTCTGGGATAGAGTGAATTTTCAAAGAACAGAGCTGGAGACAGGAGGTCAGGTGCGTTTGGCAGTGTTAGATGGAGCTCTGGAAGAGAGTGGGATAAAGCCTCATTATCCTTGTCTGAGGATGAGGGAAGTTTTCTGCTGACAGCAGCTAACTATGAAGTACATATGAGTAGAGAGGATGCACTTGATGTCAGCCTGTTGTCTGGGAGTTTGGGAAAGTTAAGAACTTCTCTGCAAACCAGGATGCCCCAGGCTCTTTGAATTACTGGAATCTGATTGGCCTGACTTTGATAGCAAGTTCCCACATAGCTCAGTCTCCACACTGGTCTGAACAACAATGTGGAGCATCTGTATTTTCTACCTCCCCCCCACTCTCCCACCCCCTCCTCAGTTTCTCTTGGACCCCCAGCATGATGTGTACCTGAGCAGAGAATTCACACATACTCATGTATGCATGCTCTGGGCTAAGTCCAGCACTTTCTAGAAATAGAGTCTTTAAGCAATGAAAGAATGACAGACATAGCAGATAACCATGAATTACTCGTTAAAGAGATTTCCAAGAAAGGATGCAGAATTCTTCTGGGTGGTCAGTGTCTCTAAGTTTTTAAGTTGCAACTTGCAGTTTAATCTGTTTTGGGGAAGGTTCTTTGACTTCATCCCCCTCCACTCATGTTTTCCCCATCCCACTCCCTTCTCTGTTCTTGCCCTGTGACGACTGCCCAAGAAATCAACTCTGCTTCCCACCTCCACTGCTTTTCTTCCCCTCTTCCCTCACCATGAAAGAAAGATTTCTCTCTGGTTCCCACTGAATCTCCAGCATTGGTTTCTGATGCCCAAAAGTATGTCCAGGAATACTTACCTGTGTTGTATGTGTGCACCACTTGTACATGTATGTGACACTCTTCGTCGCCGTGACTCATGTTAACGGTGGGAAAATGCCACCGGAGAACTTGGCTTTGTTGAGACTTTCCCAAACCAAGTTTACGTTGGTGAAGTGTGTCCAGTTTCACATACATGTGGCTGCCCAGTGCTCTTGCATGCAGACTTGACCATGTTTCTAAGGACGGGCCTGGGAAGAAATAAATGGGAAAAGCTTAAGCGTGAAGCTGGTGAGGGCATCTGGCAAAGCTATTTTGGCTTGTTTAGGCTTCACATTGTGCATTTGTCTTGTGCTGCTTTCTCAAGATATTGTAGTGCTGTTGCTTTTACTGTTGTGAGTTTTTGTGGTGTCTGTTATATTTATTTGTGAGTCTGCAGTGTGCTGATGTTTTCCTCTCCCTGCTCTCTCTCTCTCTCTCTCTTTCTCTCACCGCCTCCGTGGTGGACACCATGCTTCCTCTACTTAACTGGACCTTCCACTTCATTTCTGTAGGTAGAAGTAAAGGTAGAGATGATTTTATTTTTCTCATTATAACTATCAATCTGCCTTCTGCAATATTCATGCCTCCAAGGGGAATTGTCGATTCTGATGAATACAGTCCAGATTATAACTGAGTGCTTTTAACAACAACTAAACAAATAAATAAATAAAAAGCCAATGCTATCATTTCCCTTCAGTGCACTTCATGTTCGGTGGTTGGGGTTCATTCCGAGTTGGCCTGCCTCCCTCTGAATCCAGGATGGGACTTATCCATTATGACGTGCTATTTCTAGCAGAAACGGGGGACTCTGGAAGTAGTTATGCAGAACTATTTCACTTAAATGTGGAATTGTCTGAGATTCTCTCCCGGTGAGTGTTCAGAGGAACAGGGGAGATGTGAGATGCCATACTGTTGTTTCCATTCCTTGAGACATCTGGAATCGAGACCATCATCTGTGAGGGAAGGATGATAAGAAAGGGGAGAGGATTGGTGTATTGCTTGAAATTTAATGTGAAATTTGGGGGATACGTATGTATTGCTGTTTTATCTTCTGTGTTTCTTGCATTTGGGGGGGTAGAAATGTCCTGACTGGGGGCAATGGGCTAAGAAGGGTGGGACCGAACAGAGCTGTGGAAGGACACAGGAATGACAGTGCACTCCATCTGAAAAGCATGGAGAAAGGTAACGCTGGACTGTCACTTCCAAAGTCTACCTTTGCCAGGTAGGCAGGGAAAAGGAGAGGCACAGAGAGGGTGGGCTTGCTCCAGTGCTCTGATGGGGCTTTCGGCGTCACACCTTTGGGGAGAGCACAGCTCACTCCTTCACTCAGTCAAAGCTGTCAGAGACCCGAACCCCAGAACATGGCTCACCAGCTCAAGTTGGATTAGCTGGGCAGCAGCGAAGGGCGAGTTGAACTGATAAATTATAAATATGAATCTACGTCCGGTTCTCTTCTCTTCCCTCCTCACTCTCCAGCCCTATCTCCGTGGAGCTGTGTACCGCTGCTTGCTGTAAAGACTGGCAAATCACAGGAATAGGAAATGCGATTCTGGAATGAGGATGTTGAAGAAGGAAGGGGCTGACAGCTTATTGGACGTGCTGATTTGACTCGGGTCTGTGAACGGGCCATCTCTTTTGAGTTTTATGCTTTTCTGGATTTTTAAAGTTATGTATGGTTACCTTGGAAGCAGTTTGGGTCTTTCCACTTTGGAGTCAGCTGATTGCCTATTCTTTTTACACTAATCACAGGAGGGCTCATTTTCAGAAATTTGTCACGGGGAACCCTTACCCCATTATGAGCTTGGAGCCTTTGGAAAGGAGGTGGGAAAGGGAGAAGAGGAAGAGGAAGGCTGAATGGAAGCATACATCTATGTCTGCCCCTTCTGCTTCTCTGCTTCGTTCCACCAGAGGCTGCCAGAGATCTCCTCAGAGGCAAAGCTACCAATCCTTTCCCAGGACTCAGCCCTTCTGAAGTATGTAACTGTGTGTCCTCTGCCCCTCTTCTCACTGCCTTCTTCGAGAATACACAAGAGGGAGTCTTCCTGTCTTCTTCCCTTCCCACACCTCCAAATCTCTCCTTTTCTCTCTGTAATCCCCTAAACCGTTCCATAAGATAGATCTTCCTTGCTTTTGCACATGGGTACCTTCTTTTCTTTCTCTGGCTACTGCTGCTACCTCTGAGCATGTCCTTTGTACCAGCAACTAGTGCCCTGTGCTTTCTATGCCTTATTGTCCTTAATCCCCACACCTGCTGTATAAGGTAGGTGATGGTGTTACCGCGGCTTTATGGAGAAGTACAAGGCTCAGAGAGCTACGTTTGCTTATGTCAGTTGGCTACTAAGTGGAAAAGAATCTGGGCCACTAACCTCTGCTCCTACGGCCTTAGATCTGAGGATGCCTTCCATGGATGTCCCTCCCAGCTGCTTTCCTGGCACGGACCTGTCTCAGGTTCCAGCCTGCCACTTTGCATTCTCTGTAACACAGGTCCCTATAAATATTCCACTGCTGTGACCTCAGTGTGTCTAAAGTCAACCTTCATATCCGCTTCCCTTTGCGACGTCCCAATTTTCGTTCATGGTGCCTTGGTCCTCCTCATCACCCAGACTTAAAAACCAGGAATCGTGTTCTATCCTTCCTGAATTTTTCTGTGTCCTGGGTGATCAGTTGAGAGATCTTATTGAGATTCTTCTCTGGAATATCCCGTGCATCTCTACTGTCAACACCCTCGTTCAGTTCCCAGGTAGCCCTTATTTGATTTTTGCCCAAGCCTCATTCTTCCTCCAGCCCCTTCCAGGCTGTCCAGTAACTGAAAACTACTTACGCTCTGCTGTCCTCCACCTGGGTTGCAGGATTAGCTGTCTCACTTTCAAAGTCGTCCCTAAGATGGCCTTGTGTACATTTAATCTTCTCTATTAATCTTAGATGCAAAATTGTTGCCAAATGGGGTACTGGGAAACCTTCCTGGACCTTTCCTCTTCTGCTAGCTTTACTTATTCTCTTTCTCTCCCCAGTAACCACTCCTCCTCACCTTTGTTCTGCCCATTGAAATCACACGGAGATTTCATTTCCTAGTTGTTGCTCTCTGTCCTTGAGAGCTGCATTCGGAGCTGAGCTTGCACTTCATGTATCTCTCTAATATTTTCTATTAGAGTTACTGGGGAGCTGGGCCACTCTGCTCTGCAAGATGGGCAAGGATGTGGAAGGCAAACATATTCATTTGTTAATGTCCAGATGTGTGTAGCATTGTAGGGTGCATGTGGAAGGGACTCCAGATCTCTAATCCTTCTTAGTCTGCTGTCAATCATCTTCCTAAAAGTGAAAATAAAGCAAAATTAAAATTAAATCGGATCATGTAGCTCATCTGTTCAAAAGCTTTTGAAGGATTCTCATTGTATAATTGTCAATGTGCCTCCCCAGCTTAATTTTCTATAATATTTTCCACTGCACACTCTCACCCCTGCTGGCCCCCTGTCTCCTGAAGTCAACAACTCACTCTGCCTGAATTCACATTATGGTTTCCTGCCTTTAGTCTTTGGCCGGGGCTCTGCCCTCTTTCTTGAATGTCCTTGGAATACCCTTCCTCTCCTTATCACGCTTTAAAGCCAAGCCTCCTAGGTGTGGCAGACTTTGTGCTTCTGTTCCGGAGTTCCCGTGCCAAAGTACCTTCAATCCAATTTACTTGTGTGTTTCGGGGAGCCTCTCCCTACAGGACAGAGGCTGCATCTTGGTTATTTCTGTTACCCACTCTGCATTTAGCTCCGTATTTGGTCCAGAATTGTACACCAACCTGTGTCCCTTATCACTGGCTTCCTCAGCCTCGCAACTGCCTGAGCCAAGAAGCCCCAGTGGGTCATGGACTGAGGCCAAATGTTGTGGTTCCACTTCTCTCCTCACCCAGGCCTTCTCTTGGCCCTGTGTGTGCAAATGACAGAGGGAAATGGTCACAGATTGATTGTAGCAGAATAAAAGCAGGAAAAGTCTTTGGATTTATTCTTAGGAGATTGTCAGAGGAAAGAAAGCCTCAGATCTTGTCATTCTTCAAAGCTGAGCAGCAAAGCAGTGAGAGCAGAATCATGACGTGAAATCTACGAGACAGAGTGGGATGTACGCGTATATGTATAGGCTGTGATGGTCATTGCCACATTCAGGAAGCCTTTGGGCTGCCCTGAGCCAAAAGCCATTGTGACTACTCGGAAGTGGCTGAGTGGAGGAGGTACGCAGCAACCTGCCTTGGTCAGCTTTTTTGGCCTGATTTTGACAGTCTTTCTTTAAATGTTGAGTGTGTTTTAGCTTCTATCCTCTTTTTCTTATTGACTTAGGGATTGTCCATTCTGGGTTAGGTCACCAAATATTTTTCCTTGAAACTGAACCTGGGGTAGATGTTGCAGACTCAGTGTCAACAGAGGCCTGATAGGTGTCATCAAGGAGCAGATCCCGTGTAAGAAAAGTCCTGGTGTAAGATCACCAACAGAGAGTGGTGGGGATCATGACAAACGGGGGAGCACACATCCCGTCAAGGGCAGCAGGCTCTGCTCTCCTCCAGCTAGTTGCTGCCACAAAGAATACATGCCCAGTGTCCCGAGATCCTCAAGAAAAGCCAGAAGTGGGTTTTCTAAAAATATAAGTTTATGGCATCTTTCGTTTTAAGTACATATGTATATATGTATATATGCCTGAACACACTGTAGGCCACAAGCTACAAGCTTTTGACCTTTGGTTTGAGGAAGAAGGAGTAAGATTTCTCACTGAACGTCAATGGTGGGAAGCAGTCATTGGCACATCCCTGATTCAGTTTCTCTTTGCCTGTAGCAGCGGTCAGGGAGCAGGAAACTTTCCTACCCTCAGCACTGTTGCCAGGGAGCCCGATCCATGTGTTGGGTGAAGTTGGTTTTGTAAAGTAGGGTAGGCATGCTTGTGGAGGGTATGACAAATGCTGAGAATGACCAGGAAGAGAGGTAACAGACTGCAATAATGGCCAAGAAGTTTCATGAATTTTAAATCACAAGGGCAGCGGAGGGTGGCACTTACTTTCTTTTTCCTTTTTTACAGAGCTCTTTATTACTGGACTAGATAGTGTTGACCCTAAGATCTACTTTAATCTGTCAGAACTTAAAGAGCTCTTTCAATTTATTTGCATGTATTTTTCCCCATGTAGATTTGATCATTTGCCTTCCAGTCCTGAACTAGTCAATATTGGCCAAACTGGAAGGAGATGATCAAGCTACATGAACTCGAATGTGATTCCATGCAGATTGTATTTTGCTGATAATAACATTAAGAAAGCTGGTTTGAGGAGTTGAGCCCTCTCTTGTCCCTGCTAGGACCAGAAAGCCCTGCAAAGGAGTTACTGTTTTGATAGCCAAACTGTTTATGCAAATTAGTAAATGCAATGCCAGCTACTAATTATGAAAATAAACTCATCTGTGCTCTATAAATATCTAATTATAATAAAATAGGGGCAATACTACATTTCCATCTCTTGCCTCATCTGTTTCTCATCTACCAGTGATCTGTCCTCTTGACA